AGACAACAGTGCTCGACATGTAAAGAATGCAGATTCTCAGATGAGCACTGACCTTGAAAGTAGCAGGCCTGCTGTACTCCGTGTGGAATGTCCCATCTCTGAAAGACACACGGGACACAATGCTCTCAACACCAGGAGTGAACTGTAAGTAATGCACTTCTTAAGCTGCAAGCACCGTATCGCTTTCCAAAAAGCACTGAGGTGTGGATAAGCATCTGACAGCCAGCTGAGTTGCTGGTTACTCACTTGTAATGCAGCAGCTCTGCTCTTCCACGTTTGGAGCTCGGGTCCACCTTCACTTTCTTACACAGCTTCCGGCCCTCTGAATCTCTGAGGGATCGACACACAAAGCGTAAATCAAACTCAGAATCCTATACCCTTTGCATTTTTCAAATCAAATTCTCCTTCACACACGTACAAATTTTCCTAATGATTAGTAGATTTATGCATTCATTTCTGTGCCAGGCCATATAAATTCCAACTTCACTGAACCGAATAAAGAAAACGAAGCAAGAAGATACGGACTTTTCATCAAATTAATCGAATCACATGTATGATATAATATAAACAATGCTGCTTGCTGTTTATTTGCTGCTTCGGTGGAAACACAAAGCACAGATGCAATGTGTTGGCATACAGACGGTTCATTTTATGAGGCTTTCTGCTGTAATTGAAGAAAAAAACAAAACAAATGTAGCTGGAAAGGGAATAGATATGCATCCTGCCACCTACACATACTTCATACTTGCTACAATGAAGCACTATCAGCAAAAATAAGTACACCTTCTCATCTGTAATAAAGAGCAATGAAAATATGTATTCATTTAGAGAGAGGTGGAAAAACATGTGTTAGATATTCAATTATGGCTCCCAGACACACAACAAGCCAGTAAAAGTTCAGTGTAGTTTTTTTTCTCTTCTTTATATGAAGACTAAATCCATGTATGTCTGCATGTGCTGACAGACAGTATTTCAGGTGATGGCCGTGTGCGTAATGCAAGACTCGACCGGCTGATAATGACAGATGGCACCAGTCAGGGTACACCCATGAGCAGATGTGACCTTGACACATATTTCGAGATGATGTGCAGTCACACACACAAAAAGAAAAAAAATGCAACCATGGATCCCAAAATCCATCTTGGTAAGAAACATGGCTAATGTCAGCTGTCACCAAACCACCAAACAGAGTACACACCTCTGACCTCGAGGACAAAGGTGATTGAGATTCCCCCGAAATTTTAGCAGATACACCCTATGGTATCAATTTCAAACTCATATGTCGCGTCATTCTTTTTCAATTCAATTCAATTTATTTATACAACGCCAAATCACAACAACAATTGCCTCAAAGTGCGTTATATTGTAAGGTAGACTCTACAATAATACGTACAGAGAAAAACCCAACAGTCATATGACCATGCCATCGTTCGTGGCAGTTTTTTCCAACTCAGGAGCATTTCTAAACTCAAAAATATCCTGTCATCTAAAGACCTGGAAACTGTTATCCATGCTTTCATATCGTCACGTCTTGACTATTGTAACTCTCTCTATTTAGGCATTCGTCACTCAAGCCTGACACGCCTGCAACTTGTTCAAAATGCAGCCGCAAGGCTCTTGACGGGAACTAGAAAGAGAGAATATTACCCCGGTACTCGCATCTCTACATTGGCTACCAGTTAAACATAGAATTGATTTTAAGGTTTTATTATTTGTTTTTAAAGCTCTCCATGGTTTGGCTCCAGGTTACATTTCAGATCTTCTTAGCCTG